ACCGGCTCGTGTGCCGGTGCTGGGGGGGGGGGTCGGCGTCACCGCTGGGATGGGCGGTGCGAGGTGACGATGGCTCCCACTCGCTCGCTCCGGGAGCCTGCCGCGCCGGGGCACGTAAAGCCGCTAACGCGAAACCTCCCAGACATCAGAGCTGCTCGTGACAAAAAAAAAAACCCGGGCATCATTATTTTCCGCGCTCTTCAGTGCAATTAACGAGCGGTAATCATGTGTGCTAGGAGCCCGGTAATGAGCCCAACGCATTTGCAAATGCAGACGGTTCGCCGTGGGGGGGGGGGCCCGTGTGCATTGGTGAAGAGCTTTTAATTATTATTTTAATAATATATTTTTCCTGTTATGTTCAAATCCGCTTCGCCTTTATTCTGAACGCTCTGGCAATGGAGGCGGCGACGCATGTCCTTATTTTTATTTAAATTTTGTCCACGACGCACACCTTCGGCACTCTGGGGCGTGCTTTCCAGTTATTGCTCTGCGAAGAGCAAAGCGTGCGGCCAAGGCACAACAGAGGCTGCGTTTTCTGGGTTTTTTTTTCTTCTGTTGTACGCATGATGTACGTACGCATGATGTACGTACGCATGGTGAACTTCTTTCGCGCCGTTGCGTAGCCAAACCGTGGTGCGGGCGAAGGAAGAGAAACTCGATACTAAAAAGTGGTTGTAAAGAAATTGAGCTTTCAATGTCGTCAGCACCAAAGCACCGAAGCAAGCTCGGTTATTGCTGTTGCAGCGCACACGGAACATTCTGGAAAAGTGTGCTATTTTTTTTTCCTCTCACACCGTCTTCTCACTCGTAAATAAACACTCCGTCATCGGCTCGCGGGGTATAAAACTCGCCCGTCCGAACGCTTAGGCCACCGAGCCGAGAAATATGCTGCTAACGCTTTTCTGTTGTTGATGAACAGAACTCAGGTTTCTCCGCGGAAAGCACTTTCTCTTTGGCGATGCAACGTCGGATCTCCTCCCCCACCCACCCACCCACACCCCACCGCCACCGCCCCCACAACCCACCCTCTTACCAATGACATTTGTTGGCTCACAGGCTGTGAAGTGGTAAAAATAAATTCCGGTGAAGCCCAAACCATTCTCGTGATCATTATCATCACCTTCATCATCATCATCATCCTCGCCAGAATCTTGACCGTGAAGTGAAACCCGATGCACCCTTTGTTATCCTCATCACTACCACCACCACCGTCGTCGTCGCAATGATCTGCATCGTCAAGTGAAATCCGAGCCATCATCACCACCATCAACCATCGTAAGTGTTAGTCACTTCAATTTTTTTGAGCGCATTCCATTCGAGAAAATAAATAAATAAATAGATATAGCGCCATTGCTCACTCACAGAGCTTCACAATTGCACTACTTTACAAAATCCAAATTATACTGTATTGGCTTGTACAGAGGACCGGAAGTATTATATGAAGATTTGTTTTTGAAATGCTATCAATGGTAAATATACAGGTAAATTATAATCAATGATTGGAAGTGCATCGTCGGTTTTGCCAAACCACTGTTGTTTCAAGATGCAACACCCGCTACTTAGACAGAGTTGTACGCTACATGTGATGTGTTCCTCATTATAATACGTTTTAACCAAGTAGATTTGCGTGGGTAATTTATTAACAGGGGATCTAAATTTAGGGCCAAGGCACATTTGCTAATCTTGCATGACACCGGACCTCAAGGAAGCTACGAGCATCGTTACGATCCATCGATTCATCGATATTTGGGTTTATGTGAAACCTCCAGGCATTGGAGGCTACTATATTCACCGCAACATAATAAAATAAATAAACTTCCAATTCAATCGCAGGACCACTATGATATGACGGTGCCTTCGGGCGGGGGGGGAAGGGGGCACCGTCATCCAGCAGTTGATAGATCAAGGTCGGCGACAGTAATCATGAGCATAAGAATGTATTTCCAATCGGAAAATCCGATGCGACACGCCTAGACTAGGACAAGGATGACGATGTCGAAGCCGAGTCAACCCTGGCCAGAATCCAACCACCTCCCCCCCCCTCCCCGCGATCTCACAATTGTAAACCTGTCGCTCCGCACACACAAAAAATGAGCGCCACATCCAATCGTCACTTCAAACCCCGAACAAAAACCGTCGCTCGTTCCATAAACACCGCACAAGAAAAAAACTTCCTGGGGCTGGGCTCGGGGCAAACGAGAGGCAAAACCAAAGCCGATTCTCTCTCTCTCTCTCTTTCTCCCTCTCGTCGGCGAGCGCTCCCCGATCGTCAAACGAGGGTAGGTGTGCCCGCCTGTGCATTGTCGTGCAAGACAGCGCCGACAGCGGGCGGGCGAGCGAGCAGAGGGGCGGCGTGCGAGCCGCACTTCCTCCCATTCTCCACGACGGGAGCCGGCTCTCCTCCCCAACAACCCTCCACCCCCCCCGCCTGCCCGCCGACACCCCACACTCTCCCCCACACTCTCCCCCACACTCTCCCCCACTCCCCACCCGCACAAGGTCAAGGCAGCCGGCCAATGAGGAAGCAGCTGTGGCTGTCGCTCGAGTCACATGATAATTACGCCCCCGGTGCCAGAGGGGGGAAAAAATGCCGCAGCCATCCCGACACGTGGGGGCCACACTGGCGGCAACATGAGCGCGCGGAAATCCTGGGGGGGGGGGGGGGGCGACAGGGGCGTGCAGCGGGGATGGCGATAGGGATTGGGGATAGAGGAGAGAGGTGGGGAGAGTCAGCACAATGGGCGAACGATGGTGTGCACCGACCGCCTTTCGTGCCAAGCTAGCAGCCGGCGTTGGTGGATAACTCCGAGATCACGGTCTGCACGGCACCGCCCCCCCCCCCCCAAGTGGCTAGGAGTTGGCGGCAGGGTCGTTAACCGTCGAGTTTACCTGTGCGGAGCTTTGAGGTGTTACTCACCGGTGGGCTAGGTACGGTGTGAAAGAAGTTGAACATACGTACACGCAACACATGTACTCTCCTCCCAAGCGAGGGCGGGCATTCTTCGGGTACTCTGGTTGTCTTCCGCACGGCCAAACGCTCACCGACGGTACTGGCCAAAAACAACCCGGTGTAGTGACCCCCTCCGGCAAAATCAAGTCCTGAGACTGAGGCTTTTCTGGGATGAACAAAGGGCGTTAACCATTGAAATATTATTTTTATTGTTACTGCCACATGCAATCCACAAGGCGATGAGGTGGCTCGTCGACAGGAGCACATGAAGTAGGCTTGTGCCCTCTCACATGCAGTGCTTTGCAGTGTTATCTCCCCACATGAGTGGGTTTTCTCTCTGGGCACTCCCATCTCATCCCACATGTAATGTACTCATTCAGAAACCGGCCAAAAAATCCCAACGCGAAACCCTTCAAGAGGAAAAAATTATTACGACGATCTAAGATACAGCGAGGATTCTCCCGGTTAAATAAAAGGGGGGGGGGGGGGTTGATTATAATTATTGTGTTGCAGGCGGCACAGGAGAACGTGTGTGTGTGTGTGTGTTTGTGTCGGGGGCCAGGCTTGAGGGGGGTCGAGTCAGGGGAGCGGAGGAGCAGTAAGAGGGGAGTTGGGGATTGTGGGCTGCTGGGGGTCGTGGTGGTAGTGGGGCGAAGAGGAGGAGGGGGAGAGCGAGGGAAAGAGGGAGGGACAGGCAGGGAGAGGCAAAGCGAGACCAAGGCCACTCACACCCACATCACCGCTGTGGACTAATGAGCCGGGGCGTTCAGCTGTCGCGACGCTTCACGCGCACAAACAGCGGAACAACAGGGTCAAACGGAACAACAGGGTCAAACGTGAAACGCAACGCCACCGGACCTCTCCTCCGCCCAGTCCCCACAGAAGCGGGCGAGCGGAGGCGGCTTTAACGCCGGGCTCGGCGCTAACCGCGGGGGAGGAGGAGGTGGGGGGGGGCGGAGAAGAGGGAGGGGGCCCCGGGGCAGGGTTGGATGTGCCGTGACAAGGTGCGCGGAACGTTCGTCGGGGTCCTTAGTTGCAAATTGGGCTCGTAACAAACGAGCGGCACGCCTTTTAACGATTCTTGTTTGACCCAAAACGCGTTCCTTAATAAACACGCGTTGTTAATTAAGTGCCTTCGTCTTGCACTCGCGGCTCGCAGGACGAGCTGCGCTAAATGCGTTTCTTTGTCCGACGGGACGTTAGACAAAGAAACGGGTCAAGTTAAAGATTAATTAAGACACTCCTGTAGGTTGTATTTACGTAAGAGGGCGTATGTAAATGCGTTTTAAATATCAGATTCCTGAGTTGAATAAAAACCAACGCTGATGTTATGAATGAATCAACAACGAGAATCATTAATGGACAATAAGAAAATGATAAGACCGTATAATGAAGGTAATATTTTACAAAAGTACACAAAACCAAATCACCCCATTCGTAATTGATGATAATTCCCATTATAAATAAATACAAATCTCGAGAATAGGTTTTCCCATTTTTTCTGGCAACAAAACAGGTGTTAAGAGGTTAAAACACGAAACTGAAACCTTTTACAAGGAATCATGTCTGCAATAACCACAATACTTGTGGTCAGAATGCAAACAAAAAACATTCGCTGATACATATGCATTGTTTTAACATCTAAATATCTATTCTTGGTTCTTTCGGTAAAGTCACGTAGAAGGGAAACAATAAAATAATAAAAATATATTTTTATACCGAAAGAACCAAGAATATGAATCCCTGCAGTCACGAAAGCTTTAAATCAAAATCTTAACACCTGTTTGTTGCCAGAAAAAAGGGGAAAACCTATTCTCATATTTTGGTACTGGCAAAGGAGGTCCCATGAAATACAAATCTCACTTGACAAAAAGTATTCAGTGTTAATAGAGATTCATAACGTGACGACCCTGCCACTGATGATTTACCAACGACAGCGATGACAATGACCGCGGAAGGAAACGAAGACCATGATGACAATGATGACGATGAAGACAACGATGAAGGCACCAATGAAGACACCGATGATGAAGACGTGCCCGTAACTCACCTATGGGACTGGCGCCTGCACCAGAGCCTGAGACGAGTTCTGCCCCCAGCATGCCTCCTGCAACACAATGCCGAGACCCATGACACAAGCCCCAAGAGACGAGACCCATGACCACAGGGCCCAAGACGTAAGACCCATAATATGAGACCCATGACATGAGACTCTATGACAAAACAGCGAGACCCAAGACACTAGACTGACGCCATTGACACCCAAGACACAAGATCCATGACACAACAACAAGAATCGTAACGCTAGTCCGAGGCCCAAGACACAGCACCGAAGACACGATACTCACGACACAAGACCCGTGGCAACAACGAGACCCACGGCCGACAGACGGCAGTAACTCAAGTAGGTTGCTGACCTATCTGTAAATGTCACCGGGCTTGGCAAAATGAGACAGCATGAGGCAACATTGGTTTTGCCGTTTCACATTACCTATTTGGTTCCTCACTTGATCATCAACTAATGTCGCACCTGATCCTAAAACCTTAACTGCTAACCATTAATCCACAAGAACAAGAAGTATGGGGTGGGGGGGGTAAGAGATGATCTCTGGTGTGAACAAATATTCATTTCACTGGGGGAGATGAATATTGTATCCAATGGAACCAAAATTCCTCCTCTACACTTTGTTCTCAATCATGAATGTGGTAACCGAAGTAGAAATCCCATCCAGGGCTAACATCGACGCTCAACGAAGTCTGAAACAGTCCTGACCCCCCACCTTCCCATGCCCCCCCCCCCGCCGCCCCCCTTTTCTCCTACTCCCCGCCCCCTCAACCACCTTTCACAAACTCACAATGATGAGTGCGATGAGGTATGATCAAACAACCCCCGTGCCCGACACGGCGGCAAGGGGAGGCTTTTATCCAGCAGTGGATCGACAAAGGGCTGTAAATAAATGATGCTACGATGGTTTATGATGGGAGGTCTGTGGGAGCTCGCGGATGACATGCACGAGCGCCGGCAGGGTAAGTGGCTGCGTTTGGATGAGGGAGTGGGGGGGGGGGGGGCGAGCGGAGGGGGGGGGGTGATGGAGGTTAGCTGGCTGTGGGGCACGTGGGCTTCGTGGGGGTCTGGGGTGGGGGGGTGGCAGAAGCTCTGTGCACGGAGCGTGATCTGTGGTATGTCGAGCGGACGACCGCTTGCGTTTGGGCTCTTATCAGAAGGCAAAAAGAAGTCGATGGGCACGTCTTACGGGCGCGCAGACGGCGTGACATCGTCGGCCGTGGCCAAACGACGGCGCTATCAGGTGAGGGGGAGAGGTGCACGCGGGAAGGAGGATGCCTGATTGCATTTCCACCAAGGGATCAGCAGCCAGGGATACTCGACCAATTTGAAGGGAATGCGGAGCTGGGGGGGTGGGTGGGTGGGCGAGTGAGTGAGTGAGATGAGGTGTGGAAGGGATGTTCGGGATTGAGGGCTCTCAAAAATTCCAGTCACCAGCGGCACTAAAGAACGGTGCATTAACAGAGACCGCACAGATAACGATCCTGCCCCCCGACCGCACGCGGTTCCACGGCCTGCCATGATTCGGGGTCGCGATTCGATTCAGGAAACGATCCTTTTTGTTGGTAACTAACGCTGATAGCGGTGGTGGTGGTCACGATTTCGACACTGGCTCCAAATCCAATCACAAGTCAACTACAAGACCTACACAAGATGACCCTCGTCGTATTTAAGACCCTTCTCTCTCTCTCTCTCCCTCTCTCTTCACTCACCCCTGCGCCACCTCTGCCTTGTAATCTCGCTTCACTTCCACCCGCGTGTCCTCTGCTTGAGCAAGCGAGGCCTTCGCTCTCTTAAACCCTCCGCGTCAGTCTCTGCCGAACATCAAGGTCGCTCCCCTTCTCCGCTGCTGATCCTATCGCCTGGAACTCTCCTCCGTCGCCCCTCTCTACGCGCAACGGTGCATGTTGCTCATCCCGGCCGCGTCTCGTACTTCGCTCCTTAAAGCCGGCCGAGTTTAAGGACGCCACCGTAATGCACAGCTCGCATTGCTCGTATCGTTAAACCGCATTGCGTGGGGGCAAGGGGGCAGTGAGTTGCGGCGCTGTACCGTGGATGGGGTTTGAGATAGCGGCCTAAGATTTGAGTCAAACCTATGTGGCGAGTGAGCAAGCAAAGGGCAGCGGAGGGATATTCAGTGTTGTACTGTGTTTCTATGCCACCACATCGCCGGCCCCGCGCTGGCCAGAGGAATGAAATACGGGCGGTCTCCGGTTTACAACAGTCCACATGAACGACGTCAATATTATGCCACCATGGATCGATTTACGATGCAGAAACTTGATTTTACGACGCGTCTTCCAACACGACTCCAAACGCATTTGAACAGAGTCGGTCTGGCTTCCGATGTGACTTGGCGTTGAGCTTTTGTTATTCTCAAGTGTTTTTGGTGGCTTTTTACCCACTGAACCCTGTTAAATACGGCCGATAAAAGTGAAAAAACACATCGGCAAGTGATGTGTCTACCGTTTCCACTGTCTGTTGGAAAAGAGGGTCCCCGATTTAGGACAGGCTTTGCAGGAACGCATTTCTGTCGTAAAAGCGGGGAACTCCTGCATGGTCAAATATCCCCTCTCACGCCCCACCTGACCAGCACAAGCATGGGGGAGTAGTGGATTGACAAAAAAAACGCTGCTCACAAACACGTACAATAATAACAATTATGATAAGCTTTGTATAATAATATTCACTGCCACTTAATATACCACGGCAACTCAAAGTACTTTACACCACATCTCATCCGGAACATGCCAAGGGCAACCCCAGCGGCAGCTGCCCCTGTGCGGAACAAGGTGGCGGAGTACGGCATGCCTCGTCTGCCGGTAGCCGGCGACGATTGCTCTCTACGCGATCCCAATTGAGGACGTTGCAGGAAATGTTTGTGTGGGATAACAAAACCGGCACACAATGTCCTAATCGTTTGCCACGGTGGCGAGGCGTTAACCACCTCGCGCCTGGTTTACAGGAGGTCGTGGGTTCGTTCCCGATCCTAACGCCTCGTTTTATATTTGGAGTTTGCATGTTCTCCCGCAGTCGCGGATACATTTTCTCCGGGTCCTCTGGTTTTCTGTTTTTTTTTCCTCCCTCCACACTCAGAATCAACACGCCCTTAGAGTATTTGGCTGCTATACATTTCCACGTGATGATGAGCCACTTCGTTGAGCTATAATTTGTGGCCAGGTCTCTTCTGAAAAAGAGCTATACAGCTCAGTGTGCCTTCCCTAGTTTATTTCATAACACGTCGTGGGGGGGGGGGGTTGGGGGGGGGTGGTACCCGTAAAGGTCACTGTGAAAGCAGACGGCACGCGGCATTCAGTGTTAATGCACCCGCAGTGTTGTAAGCTGGGGCGGCCTTCCGGACACTTGCCGCACCATCGGCGAGGGCGCCGGCTTGCAAGGATCATGCGCGGTTGGAGCCTCACCAGGGTTGCCGGCGCTGGGCGGGCGCTGCTGAACACCGGGAGACACGGTGTTCCTCTGCAGGCTGACGGCCTGCGGGGGCGGCAGCATTGGCCCCCCCCCCGTGCTGTGCCAGCGTGCCCCCGGGGCTGCCGTACACCAGCGTGTTGCCGGGGTTAGACAGCGGCACGGCCACCGGCAGCTGGAAACTGCCTGTGCCTGGCGGCACGCTCGACTGACACGGGGAATTGGGGTGGGATGGGGGGGGGGGGTGGGTGCGGAATCGGGGATTGGGATCGGGGGGGATAAGGGGTGGTGCAGGCCCACGGGCGGGGGGGGGGGGGAGAGACGGGAAGAAACAAGGAGCACAATAAATAAGTCAACAAGCAGGCGGTGGTAAATAAATAATAACGCAAAGGACATTAGCGGAATTAGCGGCGTGAAAAAGAAACAACGTCAAGCTGCATCAACCACACTGGAGGTGCGAAAACTAGCAGCGTGTACGATTTAATTGTCTTCCTCCGTAGGCTTTGAGCGATCGCAAAGTCTCCGGGCAATGTCCCCAATCGTGTTTGTGTTGGTGAGAGCTTATAAGAATCCTGCCTGAAAATTGTTTTTATATATATTGAACGTAATCTCCTCTGAGAGTGTCTATTACGGACGAGATAGCAAACACGCAAAAATAGTTTTTTTAACGGAAATATAAACACAATTATTTTATCTGAGTGTGACAAATGACATTACCGTGTCTAAACTGCCAACAAATTTACCTTGGAGAATGATATACAACTTGACTTCGAAGATTTTTACATTGCGAGTTATATATATGTTTTTTTTTATTTTGCGCAATTCACTTTTACCATTAACCCACTTAAAATAGACGACAAGACGGGAAAACAAAAGATTCGCGAGTGATTTTTGGTTGAGGCCACGTAATGATCTGGCGAAATGTGTGTCGTGAAAACACCTCCACCATCCCGACAGCCAAAGAATCAAATAGTCACGCGCAGGAGGGCGTTCAAAGCGCGCCAAATTATTCCCGTTTCAGCTCGCTCACCGGTAAGTTGCACAACGATTTGCGCAGCCAACTGCAGGAATCGCAATGCTGGCTGCAAAAACCGACGTGTTGGTTGCAAAATGCAAAGCCTGCCGACATAAGCTGGCGTATCTCGGTATCGACATCTCATTTGCGATGCCTCTTAAGCGTATTACCTTAAGCGTGCCACCGCTGGAGAGTGGATGTTAAAAGACCTCGCGAGATCCGTCCCAACCAAGAGCATGTGGGAGTGTCATGGCACACAACTGCCAGATTTGAAAACGATCCTAAGCCGTAGCCAATTTAGTGACTAATTCGTCCGTTTTGCCAGGTTTGGTTTCGTTGTTGTCAATGCACATCTCCCTGGATCCATCCTCGCATTAGAAAAACGGTGTGTTGGGATGTAAAAAAAAAATCGTTAAATTAGGGGTGGATTCCATCACATGCATGTGCCTAGTATGTGGTGAATAAGCGCTAACCGTGACTGAATGCTCAACAATAGCCAATCGATGAAGGGAATGTTATTGGTGCAGCCGGATCGGATGATTAAAAAAAAATGCTGCGATTTTTGACATCACGGCATTGTGCCAAGAACGATAATTACCGAAACATAGTTATTTCCTCGTGGACAATTAGCAAGTTTGCGTGTCGGACTGTCTGACAACAATTCGTCGTAACTTGTTCGCGGCGGGGGGGTGGGGGGGGGGTAAAAAAAATAAATGCTTCAAAGTTATAGTCGAGGTCGTTGCTAAAGTACTGGTCGTGATCTCATCGACGTAATAAAATGTACTAGAGTGCCGTTGCGATGACGTCACTAGAGTAGCAACATGACACGTTTGATCACAACTTTAAAGTCTTTGTTCACTAACGGAGCTTCAAACTAGTGTCGGCTGGCCTCTGGCATGCGCACAGCCCGAGCACGCTTATTGACGAGACAGGAACCGGCTATTTCTATGGCGTTGTCAGTCTTCACTTGCATTTTACCACTCTAAGCGGAACACACTCATTGGGAACGATCCAAAGTCGCGGGCTTAAAAGCGCGTATAACAACGTGTGTTTGCACATGCGAATAATACGAAAAATTATTCCAGATACATTGAACAGCATTTCTTTAAGCACACGAACTGGACCGGTTTCAACCTTCCGGGTATCATCAGCAGAGCAGGTTTGTTAAGTAAAATGCCATTGGCTTGCGGACATCTGGACGGTTGATGGCACGTGCATGTTTGCGAGCCGTGAAAAAAAAAACACCGTGGGCTTCTTGCGCGGTCTATGCAGCAAACGTTTCTTTTGCACAGGGTGCCTTTATGCATTAATAATGCCTGTGGGGCCCGGCTTACGTTACTGTGCACAGCAGATGACACCGGGCATTCCAAGGCAATAACGCGCTATTAAATTATGCCGTATCTTCACCTGTGCACCCACCGAAACCCGCCCGCACACAGGTGTGTTGTAGCTGGCGCAACGGTTTTCAGAGCCATGCGTTTGCGGCGCTGCGTAAGACGTGATGAATATATAAAGTCAAGTAAAATAAGAATAAAAGAGTTGGGTTTTTTTTTTCTAAAGCTGCGCAAGCTATTCGAGACCATGTCTCATTCCTGACGATCGCAGTCAATTTGTTGCACGAACCCGTTTCGGGAAAGAATTATCGCTGTCGGTGAAAATGAAGCTTTAACAATGCCTGGATGTACAATTAACCTTCAGTAAAAAAAAACATCCTACGTGAGCTCTACATTCCATGACACGGTGTGATGAAGCACGCCTGCAATCCTGTAACTTGGGATGAGATGTGGTGGGACCGTGCCAAAATCAGCCAGTACAGAAAGTAAGTCGGTGATATATCGGATTTTGGGTGTTCTTTTCTTCGAGTCACCTGGCTTCTCCAACATGAAATATAAAGATCCAAAAGAAGAATTTGCGGATAATCCAGGAAAGGGACCACCTGAAATATTCTAAAATGCAAGTAAGCCTTTTCTGGGTGCATAAAAAGAGTTATCAGTTTCATAACAGTGGTTCTTCATTAAAAATACTGACATATCATTATGGCAAGATTTCATGTACTTTAACTATTTTTTTGTCTTCAATTAAGCGAATTGCACGGAGGAGCAAATGTAAGTGCACCACATTTGCACGTCAGACTGTGCAAGTTTCATAACAGTGGTTCTTCATTATATCCGAATCCAAATATTTAGGATGCAAAAACCAAATTGAGCATTCGTGGCGCTGAAAAAGAGGCAGCAATTTCAGAAAGGCACCGAGAAACGCAATTTAAAAAAAAATCTACAATACAACAAGCAGTATTTCGAAACGCAAGCCTTTCACATTTAGTTTTTGGGCAGAATAAACTTTTGCGGTGAGTGGTGTTTGGTTGGGAAAATGACAAGAGGAGGAATTCGTGGAGGGAGGATGAGGGTTGGGGGGTAAGACAAAAAAAAGCAGCTGTAGCCGTAGAGTTTAACCACTTCCCGCTCTAACGAGAGGGAGCGACAGGCAAAACCGCAGACAAATAAAAATCATGCATTCATTACATGCGAACGACAAAATGCCACCTTCGTCAATTAAACTAACAGCAATTTGCGCTGGCTTGACAGTGGCACATGTGTGATACACAAAGGACAGGGTGCCAAGGCAAGTGCACGCGCTCGCTCGCTCGCTTCCCTCCGCCCGCGTCTCACGTGGCCAATTATCCCATCCCCCCCTATTCCAGCGAAAGGCCGGCAGTGAAAAGCGTGCGCCATGTGTTTAAAGCCACCGGCACACTCGAAAGCCACACCACCGTCGATGAGATTGTAAGTGCCTTGTGCCTCCCTCTGCTGCCACGCGTGAAAGAGGGAAAAACCACGCACTAGGATGTACCGGCCGACATTTGAAAAAGGTCACGTTAATTGAACCGTTTCGCCAAATTAGGAAATGACAACTTTTACGTGTTATTTTTCTTCGGGGTTTTTTTTGTTTCGTTTTCCAATAATAAATGTTTTTTTTTTTTTCTCTCTCTCTCCAGTTCACAGTCTCTATACGGGCCGAGCGTTTGTTCAGGGAGAGACTGCTCGATGCTTTAGGGGGGGGGGGCGGGGGAGGCGGGGGCGGTTGCTTTGAGGGGGGAGGGGGTCGTTTTGCTTGAATGTAAGTAATGAAATCGTGCGATGCAGGTAAGCTGTAACGGGCAATTAAATCGGTGAATCAATTTTTAACTGTCGCTGGGGGTGTTTGCCCCCCCCCTTCCCCACCCACCAGCTACAAGGACACGGAGGTGGTGGGCCAAGTGGGGGGGGGGGGGCGGTGGGGGACCTGAGAGACGTCGGTTGGAATCGGGACGGTAAATCCTGGCGGTGAGAGCGCGGGCTGCGGTGGCTACTTACGGGCGCCAACCTGTGATTCCGCATCATATTATCGAACTCCTCGTCAATTTTTTTATACTTTTCCTCCGTGCGCGGGGTTAAAACATAAGAGACGTCGGGCTCGGGACTGTCTTCCCCGCCTCGCTGCTCCTTCCGATTAGAGCCTGCGAAGGTGGTGCAGAAAGACAGAGAGGAGAGAGACGGAAGGAGGGAGACAGCGAAAGAAAGAGGGGGAAGGAGAAAAGCAAGCGGAGAGAGTAGCAAAGCAACAGAAAGAAAGGAGAAAAATACAAGAGGCAGAGAAATACTCTGGCCGACAGAAAGAGAACGACGGAGGAAAGGAAGCAGCATTGGAGAAAGAGGATTGAAAGAAGAGAGCAACGCTGGTAAAGAGAGGAGAAATATTGCCAGAGATAATAATCCAAACGAGGAGGAGAGAAACAGAGTCGGAGAATGAGAAAAGGGGCGGCGAGGAGATGGAGGAGAGAGAGAGAGAGGCAGGCAGATGGGGACAGAGGAAAGAGCAGCAAGAGGAGAAGTGTAAAGCAAAGCAGGCAGAAGAAGATGGAGGTGCAAAAGACAGAGCGGGGAGAGGCAGGGAGAGGCAGGGAGAGGCAGGGAGAGGAAAAGCAAAGGCGGAGGGGGGCAGGGGGGGGAAGGAGGCGAGAGGGACAGAGGGGAGAAGCGGGGGGGGGGGAGGAGAGGCTGAGTGACCAGGTAAAGGTAGGGCACGAAGAGAGTTGCTACTTACACACAGTCTCTGATTCCGCATCATGTTATCGAAATCCTCGTTGATTTTGCGGTATTTCTCCTCCGCGTGCGGGTTGCTGCCGAGATTGTCTTCCGGGTCAGAGTCCGGGCTATCAAAGCCGTTCAGCCCCTTTTTTTTCAAGGTCTGAAAATCAAAGTTTAGGACAGTTCACAAAAAACCTCGACGCGCCTGGATCCTCTCCAGCCGACAGATCGCCGCCAAATTTCCACGTAAAAAAAAAAAATACATGCCGCTTAATTCCAGTCTGCCAACCGCTCTCTGCAAACAGAACAGCCGGCGTTAATGTAACACAACGATTCGAAATTAAAATCTCTGCTGCTTAGATTTTTTTTTTTTAACACCAATTATACCCCCAAAAATCGTGCTATCGGGGTCACGTCACGACAGAGCCTCTTCCGGAGCTGTCACATCCAGCAAAAGCATCACAATGTGTCACGAGTATAGCCCCCCCGCCCCCTGGAACATGACACCACAGATCAACTTCTGGAGTCACTTCAGTAGCTCCCTCACATCCACCAAGTGACAGCTCTCCTTCTCGCTCTGCAAACAGTATTTGTCACACGTCAATCGGCCCGACCATTTTTTGGGGCCTCTTGAGCTGGATTAATAATATAATTTACCATCATTAAGGGCGTGCAGCCGGGCCTTTACTCTACACACTGGTGTTGAAAGCCTCTTCCCCCACCCACCCGCCGTGACGTGTCGGTACTTGGGGGGGTTGCTTTTGCCATACTTCACCACACTCGTCAGTGTAGGTTGGTAAGAGGTGGGGGTGGGGGGAGGCAGCACAGGTTCAGATATCACTTGCCTCACTGATGTTGGCCGCGGCTGGCAATCGAACTCAAGTTGCTGACTTCATAGTGCCGTGTGCCAAACACTAAAAGCCACCGCTCCACCCCCTGCGCTGGAAAGGGCACGGCAGTGGGGAGATGTTAACTACCTCGCCTGGTATACAGGAGGTGGGGATTCGATCCCGAACCTGACGCCCGCTGCTCAATATTTAGAGTATGCGTGTTCTCCCAGGGTTGCGTGGAGTTTTCTCCGGGTCCTCCAGTTTTTCCCCTCCACATTTAGAATCAACGTTACGGCGTTAAGAGTATTAAGGTTGCTGTAAATTTCCACGTGATAAGCCACTTCGGTAAGCTATCATTCGTGGGAAGGTTGCTTCTGATAAATAGCTATACAGCTCAGTGGGGGCTTTACCTGGTAGAATAATAAACGCGATGTCATTTGTGCAGTCAGTGTGGTGACCGAGTGAGGATCACCAAATCGCCACACTTGAGACCGTGGCTCCACCACCCAACCCTCCGTTTAATCGCAGGCGCGGCTGCACAGATTCACTATTTTTTTACTATTTAAATTTTTTATCAGGTAAGCCCACTGAGCTATATAGCTCTCTTTAAGCAGCGACTTGGCTACAAACGATAGCTCAACAAAGTGGCTTATCATCATGTGGACATTTAGAGCAGCCAAATACTATAAACGCACATTCACAGGGAGAGAGACACGCAAACGCAAAATATACAGCAGGTGTCAAGAGTTTAGATCGAACTCACAACCTCCTGCATACCAGGCGAGGCAGTTAACATTTCGCCGCCGCGGCGGCGACCCTGTTTAAGCCAGGATCTCGGCGGCGGCGTCAGCTCTGTCTCTCTGACACAGCCGACACGAAACAACCCCGATTCGCGCGGAGAGATCTCAACAACGCGAATTCTTTTTGTGTGCGTGTGCGTGCGTGTGCTGCGTGTGTGTAAACACATCGGAACGGATTATCGCAAAAGCCGGCACGTGCACCGTCCGGGACACGCGGTGTCATCGGAACACGGGGCACGACAAACAAAAAAGAAACCGTGACGTTTCGGCCACGGTCGTGGCACGTGCGCCCGTCGACCCGCTGGAACAAACGCGCGCGTCAATGCACGCAGACGCACACGAAACAACACGCGGGGAGGGGGGGGGCCTTAAGGCCACAGAATGTGTCGCGCACGAGTGCGGCGCTGCGGCCGGCACACTCCAGATAGCGCTAATCACGCGGAATGCATTCGGCCGTGTCCGATATGGGCCGGTTGGAGTAGCGAGCGTGGCAGCTGCCACCGCGTTATCGGCATGGGGTGCCTGGGGAGGCCGGAATGTCACAATCACGGCGAGCCTATCTGCACACTGTTCCACTTCTCTCCTCTCCCTCTCTCCCTTTGCCCTATCTCTCTGGTGGCCGCCATCTCCCCCTCTCTCTCTATGCCTCTCTCCCCCTATCTCCCTCCCTTCCCCTCCGCTCTCTCTTTCCCCTATCTCTCGGTCCATGATCTCCCTCCCTCGATCTCCCTTCTCGCTCTCCCTCCCTCGTTCCCTCTCTCTGCTCCCCCCCCCCCCCCACCTTGCGCTCTCTCCTGCGATATTTTTCTTTTTGCTATCCCTCCCGCTCCCCGTCTCTCCCTTCTCGTGCTCTTTCCCTCGTTCCCGCTCTCGCCTCCTTCCACTCTCCCCTCGGTTTACTCCCTCTGCCACCACTCCCCCAAGCACACCCCCCCCACCTCTCAAGCTTCTCTCTCCCCCCCCCCCCCCCCCCCCCCCCCCCCCCCCCCCCCCCCCCCCCCCCACTGCTCTCTCTCTCCCCTCTCTCAGCGTCCGCACAGTACAGAATGTGACATGCACAGGGCGGCCATGGCCAGATGCCCTCGCACCTGTCAGCCTGGCCCCCCACTCACCCCCCTTCTCGTTTTTCAGCCGAGGCCGGGCAACCTCATCAACGTGACTGTTTGTAACGATCGCCAAAAAACAAACGACGGGTTTCGTTAGGCGCAGTGGAGATGCTCCGACCGAGCCTTTCAGAATTTTATTTCGCATCTCTTTCTCCCGCCGCCGCCGCCGCCGCCGCCGCTGCTGCTCGGCTTACGTGTTCGCGAAACACAAATTGCTCGTCGCAATTATACACATGCGCTAAGAATTACAAGAAAAGAGCATGAACCCAACAAGATTAACTTATGACATCAGCAGCACACACCCAACCACTCAGGACGCGTTTTGTGAGCATTCAATTAAAAACCGTGTTTCCCCAACAACAAAGAGGTGCGTCGGTTTTTCCTGCACTCGTCAATCCACTGCTGGATTGAGGGCCTCTTGGCTGTGGGGGGGGGGGTGGTCATCCGATTGTACGTCGGCACACCGTTTCATCGAGAGGGCATCAGCAGCGGCACGGAAGTGCAGTACAATGGATTGTGCTGCACTGCTGCCCGCAGGCGTATCATGCCCCCCCCACAGCCCCTATGGCAACCCGCTCGCGGGCAGCCATCGGCCATCCAAGCACCGTCACAAGCTGGCGGTTCTTAACCTGGGGTGCCCTTTCTGGGGGTACGAGACATGGCTAGATTTTTTTTTAGAAGGTAAATCATCGAAAACACAAATTCGGCATGGCTACGTAAGTACAACTCACTCTGTATTTATTAACACTGTACCTTTCTAATGATTGAGAAGCAAAGAGGGTGGGGCAAGGCTGCAATAAAGGTGAAAGAACCACTTGGTCCAAGCGATGAAAACTCAAATCTCTAAACGACAAGGAACCCCCCCACCCCATCGCAACGGAAGAATGCATGCGGGGCCGCAAAGCAGACAGACTTAACACCACACAGACACGTGCAATGGATGTACAAAAGCTGTATCAGCCTTACGCAGACCACCAGCTCCACAGAACTACACGTGCGGTCATTCTGTTTGTTTGTTTGCTTGCTTGGCTGGCCACATTTTCTCAAACTCTTCCGGGTTGTTGGCACACAAAAAAAATCGACAAAATGACCCCACACGGTGGTCTGCGACGAGGCCGAGAGCACATCTGGACGGCCAAGGCACAACGTTCTCGGCGACGTCAGCGCCACCAGGTCGAGCCACAACCTCCGTTTTGGCTTTTGTAAATGTTGCGGATTTGCTCTCCAACACACCCGTGGTGCTGTACTAGTAACGAATTGGCATCTTCCGTTTACGTGACAAACCTCACTAATTGGCCTTGTCGGGCGGTGGCGGGTTCAACGACACATTGATATTTCCGCGATTTAACCCCCCCCCCCAAAAAAATCTGTATTATGGATGATATTGGTGGCCAAAGCCTACGTGCTAAACCGTCTTGGCTTCCTTCACGACTTCTGATGGGATGGAGGTGCATTCCATGTGACGTGCCAATAGGCGTGGTTATTTGGTTTTACACCTTCTGGGGGTAATTGATCGCCCATTCCTGCCGACAGGTTTTTTTTGCGTTTAGGGGGTGGGATTTTATTTTAATATCCACTGCCGTCATCTCGGCACAGGTGTGTCTATCTGGTTTGGCAGGAGAGACCTGCTGCTTTTGTCAATCTGGCCCGGCTGCTTTTCTTTTTTTTTGCTTTCATTTATCGACGACGACACCACGTGACTCTATCTTTGTTCCACTTCCCCTTTACTTTGTGGTTGTTGTTTTTTTTGCGCGTGGGGGGTGTGAGAGGGAGAATGTAAAAGGATCACAATCCCAACATTTGATGTGAACGAACAAAACGAAATCCCACCTACCTAGGCTGCCCATTTTTAAACCTCCGTTGTGCCCGACACAAAATTAAAACGCTGCAGAGATTCGCTTCGAAAATTAGTACGAGGTCAAATGTATATATATATTTAAAGAAATCAGCAGCTTAAATCGTGTATGGTTTCCGAGAATGCCTGCCGGTCGGACTGCCTGCCTACCCACCTACCGACCTTCTACATTGAAATAAAGGCTTGGAATGGTGAGTAGAGGCACACAAGAAGAGTCGTATAAATCTGTTTCCCAGGCTGGCGCTGTTGTTCTAGTGTGGAGGCACTAACTCCTGAGGCTGCCCACCCACCACCACATCTCCCCCTCCCCACACCGCCACCACCCTCTCTCTCTCTCCCCTCCTAGCCCAAACCAACCCCACACCACCACTCGCCTCTCCTCCACCTCATGTCGCCAGCCGCCCTGGCTCTGCCTTCAATCTCAGCCCCCCTCCCCTCCGTCCCACCGCTCAGCCTGGCTCACACAATGCCCATACATGGCACCAAACACAGCAACTGCACGGCCGCCTGCCCCATCCCGAGGGGAGGAGGGCTAGGGGGGGAGGTAGTGGGGGGGGGGAGGCATGAGT